TTATTCTCTTACATGACACGAGCTCTGGCCCACTTCATGAAAGGTGCCCGTAAATTGTGGAATAAATTAATTGACAAATGAATAATGACTAGATAGTCATGGCAACTTGGCCCAATGATATATTAGACATTCCAGGTGTTGGGTAAATCTTGAAATATTTAGATCCTGTATTGACAATCATATATTTCTACATGGGCTTGGCATAACAGAACATATCAGTGTCTCCATTTAAATTTGTACTTTTTTTCCTGTCTTTTTGAGATAGGGTTTCATTGTGCTGTTCAGGCTGGCCTTGAACTCCCTACAGTGATTCTCTTGCCTCAGCCTCTTGAGTGCTGGGATTACAGGGTAACTACTGATGATGTTTCATGGCTGGGATATATTAATTAGCCTGGAAAGTATTCCTTCTATCAAAGCCTGATAATCTGAGGACATGAGTTTTATTTCATAATCCTCCCTCTCTGAGAGATGCTTTCATTAATGAGGAAAGTGTAGGCAGCTGGTTTTCCTTAGCCTTTGTTCCCAGATACTATCAATCAAGGAGAAATCAAAATATTTTCCATTATACTTGGATTTACAGTAACTTGTTAATTTCTTGGACATGTCTCATAATCCAGAAATTATCTTCTACTTCAGGTGATTTTATTTCTCACTAATATACAAGTTTGTAATATCCAATTAAAGGATAGGATTGATAAGAGGAAGAGCAACTTTTTAGATTATACCCTAAATTTAGCTAGAGAAGAGTTCAATTCACTTTGTTGTCCATGTGGAAATCATTGGAATTCATGGTGACTTCCCCTCCCTGGGGTTAGTCACTGATGGTTAAAGCTGGAAATCATCAGATTCAGTCCTTTCATTTTATTAAAGGGGATTATATTTTATAAATCAGAGTGATTTCCACTCAAATGAAATTGTTTTGATCTTTTCCAGTGAAAACATTAAAAAAACAAAACAATCAATGAAAAGGACAAATAGCAAAAGGACCCAAATTTTTTTCCAGCACTTGGGATGAACCCAGAGTCCCTAAACAGAGTGAAAATCCCCAGTTCTTTTTCATTTTATTTTGAGACCTGCTCTTACTAAGTTGCCCAGGTTGTGCTTGAACTTGTGATCCTCCTGCTTCAGCCTCCAAGCAGGCTGTGATTGCAAGTGTGTGCCACTAAACCCAACTACGAACCAATTTTTATTCTGTCTCCTTCCCTATTCTCTCTGTTTCCTTTCCTCCCTCATGAGAAGAAAAAACTCAAAAAAGCTGCAACATGGAGGGATGGAACAAAATTGGGGTACTGACTGCTAGAAAATGAAAACTTGCATGCAATATGAAATTTTCACAAGCCACGTGAGCACATCGGCTTGCACACAGCACACGTGGCTGCTCTTCATCTGGCTTACAGAACGGATGGCTTTTGGGGTAGTGATAACTGCCTGTTTGTCCTTTCACAGCACAGTAGGAAGGCAGTGGCACTTCGCCAGCAGGCCTGTCCTGGAACAGACAGCAGACTGCTCCTCTCCCTGCTGGGCTGTCTCAGCACAGGATAGTCCAAGGAAGCAGGGCAGCCTGTGCTGCTGAGGACCCTAGCAAAGGTCAGGAGCCTCCTGCTCTGGGCACCTGGGTTCACTGTCTCAAAAAGTGTATCATACAAAACTCTTAAGTTCCCATTTATAACATGTGATTCAACTTTAGAAAAGAGGAGAGGCTTTTATTAACCTGTTTCATTCATTCAACAAACACATGTGTACTGCGAATTCACCCTGAACAGGAGGATGAGCAAGACTCACCAAGACTGATGACTCAGGGGCCTGTGTCTTCAGAGGAAAGGGCACTTTGGCTATATAAACACTGAAGGTTGATTGCACCTCTCTCCCCGTACCTTAGACACAGGGACATTATTAATGGATACAATTTTACTGAGTAAACCATCAGTGATCCTTACCAAAATTGCTCACTTTCTAAGTGCTGTGTTTCAGAGACACATCACAAATACCAGATCATATAATAATTATTTCTGATAATATCACAAAAGTCAACTTTTTCAGCCAGATGTAGGTACTCTGAAAAGATTTGACAGGTTTTTTTTTTTCTGCTTTTTAGGGAAGGGTCTATAGGGTGTTCAGGGCCTTACTACTAGATCGGACTCATAGTGATCTGCCTGTTTACAGCCTCCCAAGAGCTGGGATTACAGGTGCATGCCACGATGCCCAGGTTAAGATTTGACAATGTAGTAAAAAAAAAAAATTTAAAAACTAATTTAATTTATTTGTGTTTTACAATCTCCTAGCAAGGAGAGACTAGTCAAGTGAGGCAGTGTTGAGTAGCCTGCTACTATCTTAGTGTAAGTCAACAGTGAATGCTTATGAACAATAGGAAGAGATAGAAATATTAAAAAAAAAAAACCTTAGGTAATTGAATCCTGATTCAAAATGGTGTCTAGCACTAGAACATAATATACTACTGGCTGCTCAATTATCTATCATTGCCTTTTTTTTTTTTTTTTTTTTTTGGCAGAACCAGGGACTGAACTCAGGCCCTTGCGCTTGCCAGGGAAGCGCTTATTCCACTGAGCCATTTCCCCGGCCCCTATCATTGCCTTTTGAACATTGTAATTGGATAAACAGGAAACTATACGTAATAATAAGTTTGTGCAAAGTAATGTGTTTGCTGGAGTCTGGGATGCACATTGCAGCCCTTCCGCTGTTAGCTCTCCCCCCTTACAATAATGCACAGCAGCACAGCACACCTGGGCAGTCCAAAGCACTTTACCAAAATGACTGAAAAAGCAGTCATTTCTCTGGCATTGATATGAGCAACATAAATCTTATTGGCTTCAAGACAGAGCTGCCACTGAACCTGACCCAGCCCCCATTTCTTAGGCAGGAACACAGTTCTGCCTCGCACGTAAATTGGGCAAATAATTGGAATTTCTATTAGATCTCACCACTTAGTTGCTTTATTTATCTATTTCTCAGTGACTCCTTGGTAGTTATGGTCCTTATACCACAGCTACCCAAACATTAGGTTGCACAGGACTCCTGCACACTAGGGCTTCTTCTAAGAGATTTAAATTGAAAGGCAACACGGGCCATTATTGGCCTACTTTCCATTTTCATTATCAATAAAACAAGAGATCAGCATTTTCATGCTGTGTGAAACCTTTAAGAAAATGCAATGCTACTGTCATTATCTTTAGACCAGGCTGCCGCTGGCCCCACTAATGCAGCTAAAATGATGGGCCCATCAGTATAAAAAAATAAAATAATGAAACAACCAGAATCATGGGGAGATCAGCTGTACAGGTCTGCTGCTTGGCTTTCTGCAAATGTCCTTTTGAATTTAGTAGCGCCTGCCTGGCAAAGACCACAGATCATGACAGAACATAAATTGGCCTCATAATGAGATTAGTAGGCAGGCAGAATAAATGGCTTGCTGTTATGTGAGAGGCAGCCTTTAATCTAGTGTTTTCCTTGGAAATGATCATTTCTTTTGCAACATGGTAATCATGATGCAACTAGTTGAAATCCAAAAGATTCTAGTTTGCCCTCTGCCTCTGTCTTTTTAATAGCAGTTCGGCGGAGGCGTATAAATGAGTTGTGAGTCTTAAAGATCGTTACTGAAGTGAGCTATGGGAGCCTATGTTCAAGGTCGTCAATCCTGTTCCCCAGACTCCCTTTTGAAGATAAGTTCCGTGCAGCTTCCCCCACCTTGCCTAAACTAGAGCCTGCTGGGGAGGAGGTATGGTGACCCCCAGGGTCCTCTCACATTAGTCTTAAGGATCAAAGGCGGAACAGATTTGCTATTGTATTTGGGGAGTATTTTTTAAAATCTTTACTGCAGCTCCACTACTTAAAATCGGTGGAAACAGGTATCACATACTAAAGAGCTTTAAGAAAATGCCCAGATCATTTTCTGAACCCACAAGGTCTCTGAAGAGAACAAAAGCCTCCAGTATGGGGCTTGATTGCAAGGGACTTCCGTGGCTTGCAGGAGAAGGCGGTCTCACCTGGGAGCACAATGCCTTCCTCTCTTTAAAAGTGCCAGATAGCATCTCCTCCTGGATCCTTTCTGCAGAACCTGATGCAAGTTCATGGACCGTGCCATACTTGGTAGTGAATACGTTTAGTCAAAGCCTTCTGGGAAATAATCTCAGAGTTTCCTGAGCCCCATAATGTCACCAGTAAGTTAAGAGGTCCTTGCAAAAGAAAAAGGAGACCAGACTCTGAATTTAGGAGTATTTGACACTTCTGCATAGAAGGCACAGACAATTTAATTTCTCTACATTGCTTGGGGCCCACGCTAAAGACTCCTTGCTTCTCTATGAAATGGCAGTTGGCATTTTGATATACTGGCTTTTTTACACTGGAAATCTTTTATGTCTGTATGTATGTTTTACAGTTTACATGCATCATTTTATATTGTGAAATAAGTTCTTTTTCACAGCTGGCACTTCCATCTAAAATCTGGACCTTCAAACCTAAGTACTATGAGGAGAAAGTTTGTTTTTTTTTTTTTTTTGGTCCAATTTTGTACTTTTTTTTCTTTTAACTTTCCACTTCTCAATAATTGTGTCTCTACTTGTGTCATTTCTATGTATCTAATTTGCAAATGTCAAAAAATTGGAAGTCAGTTCTCCTCCCACTCTTAATATTTTCTCTGTTCTCTGTTAACTTCTGCCTCATCATGCAATAGTTCCAGGAGGAGACAGGCTAATTTTCCTCTAGGTAGGTGGCCCTGTGTTTACTGGCATGCTCTTCTAGTTTGCCTCATTCATTTCCGTAATAACTCTTTCTTCCTCGCCCGCCACATCTGCCTCCACTGTCTACTGCAGCTCCATGATTATAATTTAAATTACCAGAAGTAAATGAATTCCCTTAGCCAAGTGCCTTTTACATTTGGTATGTGTTAATGATTATCTTGTGGCTTTCTTGTGTGTTGAACTCATCAAGTTAAAGTTTCATGACATAATCTCCCTGAAGGAATTTTCCGAGTTGTGTTTGCTTACCTCATACAATGGGACTTGTTCTTGGGTTACGGCAAAGATCAGTAGCATGTTGTTTTGCACCAGTTTATCAATGAGTTGTCCAATTGTTGGATATTCCTAAAAATTAATGTATAGATTTTTAAGTATCACCTTTGCATAAGGAAAAGAACATTTATTTCAGATATTTTACTGCCCTGAGCATTTCAAAGCTCACAAGTATTATTGTATCTATTACAGTAAGCAAACAAACACATAATTAATGTTTCTCACTTAGTTTTCCAAATCTGATAAGTTTAGTTTGGCCCTAAAAGTCAGTTGCTAAAGTGGTTCCTCATGGTCACTCGCTTCTAAGCAGATCACTTGGTATCTATTGAAAGGCAAGGATAGAGAAATACTTCTTGTGAGTACCACTGACAGGCAGGCAGGAATGTTAGAATCTAGGTAGAGGCATTTAGACTGTGATGCATGTGACTGAGATGGTCCCTGCAGCTCTGAAATCAATCAATCAATCAATCTATCTATCTATCTATCTATCTATCTATCTATCATCTTTCTTTTTTCTTTCTTTCCTTCTTTTCTTTTCGTTCTTTCTCTCTTTCTTTCATTCTTTCTTTCTTCCTTTGGTACAGGGTCTCATTACTCAGCTCAGATCCTAGTGATCGATCCTCTTGTCTCAGCCTCCCTAGCACTGGGAGTACAGGCATGCGCTGCCACACCTGGTTTGTGGTTGGCACAGTGGCATGGCATGTGATACTGCGGATCAAACCCAGGTCCTTGTGCTTGCCAGGCAGGTGCTTAGATGGTTGAGCTATCTCCCCAGCCCTGAAATCTTTATTGGAGTTGGATGAGATGCCTTGGAGGTAGAGGAAGAGACAGTCTGTGGAGGTACAATGTGCTACAATTCCTATGCCTATCTGGAGTGAGAATTTCCTATATTAGTTCTTTTTTAAAATTTAATTTTATTTATTTTTTTCAAAGCTATATTAGTTCTTGGGATTGATTTTACTGCCTTTTCAGTGTCCTAAACTTACTGATTGGGATCCCCCAGTACTTTCACAGGCCAGTTGAAAACTTCCTGCATTTCTGGCCCACTGACACATTCATTCCCACTTAATATAGTTATGAATACTTAAAAACAAGGAAGTCATTAACTGTCAAATGTGAATGTGCACTTTACTTTCCAAGTGTAGAAAACCCTGAAATTCATTTTCCTGTCATACGAATCCAAATGTGGATGATGCCCAAAAAGGAAAGTCAAATGAGGGAGGTGCCTGCATCTGATTCAATTAAGAATGTGTTGATTATGAGGGCAGTCAGCCCGCTGGAGGAACGAGCTGAACAGCTCTCCTCTAACAGAGTGTGTTCTCCCGTGCTCCACAAGGCTTGGGTATTTTTATCTGAAGTGTTCTTTAGGTACAAAGTTCAAGTTGAGGGGAATGTGTACTTTTGTGTTGAACACTCAGGTAAATTTCCAACTGCAGATCTGACGGTAATGTACTTTCAACCACATTTGGATTTTTATTAACACAGATACCAGAGAATATAATTTTCCTGAGTCCAATGCATTCAGTTTCTTGTGCTTTTCAGCTCCTTGAATGCAGGCATCTTTCATCTTCAAACCTTAAATCCATGTTATGGTTCGTTTCTAGCTGTCCCCTCAACGCCTTATGTGAATCATGGGGTGGACGCAGCTCCAGGAGCAGCTAGAGGCTCAAGGCTTGAGGGGCATAGCCAGAGGACCAGGTTGGGGCTTGAGGGGTGGGGTCAGGGGACTGGGGCGGGGCTTGAGGGGCGGAACCAAAGGGCCAGGCAGGGCTTGAGGGGCGGGACCAAAGGGCCAGGGTGGGGCTTGAGGGTCAGGGCCAGAGAGGTGCTGTTAAACTGGTCCGGCGAGCTTCCCCTGATCCTGTGGCCTCACTTGAAGGTGTGGAGCTGGTCATCCTGGACACGATGCCCTGTAGCACAGGGCATTGGTGTCTGCCATTGAGGCCACCTCGGGCGGAGTGGAGATGTTTGGGGAAGACCAAGGCACTGACCCTCTCTCCTGAGCAAAGAAGGCTCTGAGATCTTGCTGTGTAATTCAGGTTGTTTTAAACTATGCAACCTCCAGTAATGTGCGCTAGTGTTATGGTTTGTGTATAGTTGTCTCCCCAAAGCCTCATGCAGTCTTGGGGCGGCTTCTGAAGTTTGTGATTGATTATTGTGGGTGTGGATGCAGCACTTGCCTTGGGGCAGGCAATTTGCGTTACAATGTAAGGAAGGAAGAGAAGCTAGCTGCTTGAGCTGCTGCTACTCCCTTGTGCTCTTGCTCTTTGCCACCACCATGAAAGGTTGCTTTCTGCTATGTGCTGCTCTGCATTGGAGCCAGCTGAGTATGGACTGAAACCTCCAGGAACTGTGAGCTAAACAAACCTTTCCTTCCTTCATTTTGAGTGTCGGGTATTTGTCCCAGCAACGAGAGAAGATTAACTGAGGCAGTCTACCAGGGATGGCCCTCATCTCCACACCTTCCCACACCCTTCACCTTCTGGATGTGTGGATCCAGGATCACACTACAGAGTAACTGAGGCAGTCCACCAGGGCTTGCCCTCATCTCCACACCTTCCCACACCCTTCACCCTCTGGGTGTGTGGATCCAAGATCACACCACAGAGTCCACAGGAGATGCAGTTTTCTCTGTAACTAAGATCTACTGGTTTCATCTCCTTAACTATACTGCAGGTTAAAGGCCAGGAACCACATCCTATTATTTTTCTGGTCCCAGGAATCTGGCCCAGTTCTGAGTATGCAGGAAATGCACTAAGGACCCAGCGGGCATGGACATGGTCCAGGACCTCTGCACAAGTGGAGCAAGAACGAACTGAGCTTTTGTTATGTGAGAATGTCATATTGGGCAATAGGTAGTGTTTGCTTTTATGATCGAGATATGTATTATGGGCCCTTTGAAAACTTGCAAGGAAAAAGTAGTGAAAATGTATTTCTCAGTTTCTTGTCCCTTGTTGATAAAAAAATCAAAATATCCCCTTTCTCACTGCTATGATATGAAATGGCAGATTATGTAATTAAAGAATGTATATGTTTAGGGAATACAACTTGTCCAAAATTATAGGAAAACATTCAAGTTGAAATTTAGAAATTTAGGTCAGTGAATGGTACTAATATACAAACTATTAGTTTATGGAGAACATTTTTTCCATTTGATAAATCTAAATTTTCTGAATCATATTTTCTCTTGTGGTAAATGAGCATAGGACCTTCTCAGGTTATTGCTTCACAGTTCAGCAGTGTTGCATACATAGTCAACACTCACTGTGTTACAGGCTCTGTACAACCAAGAAAGAGAGATTTAAGAAAAACCAGCCTGGTCCCCTGGCACTGTGCAGTAAAAACCGATGGACATAAGCAAACACAATCCTTCTAGACATCCATGAGTAAGAACAAAGGCAGAGGCAATGCTTTTAGGGCCTACTAGAAATCAGAAGCCTCTTTGGGGACAGCTATGAATGAGGTGGGTCTTAAAAGACAATCAGGAGTTTCTCAACAACCTAGGAGGAAGGGCATTCCAAGAAGAGAAAATAACATAGCCAAGCACAGTAGCCATATGCTCTGGATACACAAAGTTGTGCTGAGAATCAGACAAGATCATGTATGTCAAAAGAGCTCTGAAAATTTTAGCATCACGCTCTAACCAACTGAGTTAACCGGCCGCCAGAAAATTTTATACTGTTTTACAAAAGTCACGTGTTTCATCTCTCAACATTATCAGTATTTTTTAAATGAAAGAAATGTTAGTACAGATCAACCAAGTGACAGCTGGCTAGCTGGTTCTCAGGAGGTCTTATGGGCCTTAGAAACATGGCATAAGTTAGGTGCAGTTATTTCCAACAAACCCCAGATGCTACTGTTCTAGTTTGGGCTTCCTTTTCTGGGCTGTAGTTTGGAAAAGAAAGGAGTTATCTATCCATGGTTGCTTTTTTTCTTTTTTTAACCAGCCCAGGGATCTTTTAACAGTTGAGGCATTCTAGGAGCACATGTGCCTTTATGAATCCAAACTTCTTACATTTCCCACCAGTCCTATCTGTGCTCCCGAGTGGTCTCTAGTAATGGTGAGGATTGAGAAGGGGCGATTTATACCTCTCAGATCAAAAATGTACACTGCTTTCACCAAGTGTAAGTTATTTTGTGTAGTGTTATAGTGACTGTTGCTTCATTCGCCTACTTGTGGCCCAGAAAGCACTATAGGGTACGGGATACATACCATAATGGTTGACATGGAATATTCATTCTGGTTGTCCAAGTGACAGAGCCCGTCATTGGGAATAACAATGCCTGCCAGTTTGCTGTCCATTCCAAAATGAGAATCAGCATCACTCACAAAGACCAGGAGATGGAGTGAGTCATTCCGCCAACCAATTTTTTCCTACAGTAAGAAAGAAACATTCAGGCTTCATTTGAGGGAGGTGGGAACATAATAAATGTGGATCAATTCTGCTTAGACACATTCATATTATAAACAACATACTGCTGGTCTGTCTATTTTAACATCTCTCATCCATGTGACTTGATAATGTATTATAAACATGAAATTCTATGACATTTGCTTTTTCTTAGATAACATTTTTGGATGATTTATATTTTGTGGAAAAAAATACTTCCACTACAATCAGTATTCAGTTGCTCTTGACTTTTACATAATTAATTGCTTTTACTGTCTGGCCTTCAGTTCACCAGAAAAACGAGAAAAGAAGGTGGTGAAGGTCATAGAGAATTCCAAATCTAAGCTGAAACAAAATGAGTCAAAATTCAACACAAATGGATGAAAAGTAAACCAGTTGCATGAAAAACGTCACCTGACATTTAGGAATGTGTTTCTTTTTCTAGTGATGGAAGACAAAAGACTTCTAATCAAGGTTGGCCGTCCCAGGTCCTGCTGAGACAGTATGACTGCTGATGTCCTACAGAAGTACGACTTTGGATGCTTATTTTGTTGCTTCAAAACAATAGCTATGTATTTGTAAGGATAACTACAAATGGATCCAGAGCATTTTTACTTTTATTTTTATTGTTTTTGTATGTCATATTGGGGGTTGAACCCAAGGCCTTCTCACTGAGGTGCATCCCCAGCATTTAAACATTTCTTTGTAATTTGGAGGTAGCATCTCTCACTAAGTCTCTAAACTGCCCAGGCCGGGCTGGACCTTGTAATCCCTTTACTTGTCTCACTGGAATAAGAGGTATACTGCCACTATGCCCAGTTTACTATTTTCATTAATGTTCTGCTTTTGATTGTTTTCACCATAGTCAGCCCCAAACTAAATTAATCTGATCTCAATCTGTGCAAATTAGTCACTTTTGTCCAAAAGTGTTAAAATATCACTGTATTTGAATATGAGACATATGAAGGAGTCCCTATTTCAATATGATAGAATTAAAATTTTGATAGAAATTTTGTGTTTTAGGAAAAATATCAAAAGTAGAAATATGATGATTATAGGAAAGAAAATTATTTAACTTTTCCAAAGCAGCTTTGTGAGCAAGAGGTGAATTTATGCTACCAGAATGGAAGCTTGTTCTCCTCAGCATACCTTACACACCGCTGCTTGCATAATTGCGTCAAATCCCCCTTCAGGTGTGTCAATATTAGCAGAAATTTTCTGTTTCTTCACAATTTCATTGAATCTTTCAGCGTCATTTGTCAGTGGCAGAATGTGCTTGAATCCAAATGTAGGTAAGCAGAAGTACGGAATACTACTGCAAAAGTAGGACAGAGAAATAGTCTTGAAATACGATGCAGCACACAATGAGTGGCTCTCAGAGCCCAGCAACATTTCTTTAAATGAAGGTTCATTTTCCTAAAGCACCTGGATTCCTACCCGGCCTATGTCATGGCTGTTGTCCTTATCTTCTGCCCTATCCCTCCCATGCCGACCTACTAGCTGAAACTTACTTAGACTTCCTATATGTCTTACTAGCTCAAACTCAGAAGATAATCAGGCGTTCAGACTCCACATTCCAAAGACTCTAATCACTGTGTTCTATTGCCTCCCAACCCAAACCCAGGAGTGAGTTTACAGGATGACAATGTCTTTGTATTCTGATAATTTAAGCTGTTGTCAAGTATGAGTCATCTCATAGCAGGACAGAGAGGAACTTGTCTTCTTCCTTCGCTCTCTCCTCCTCCCAGCCCTGCCTGCTACAGGCCAGAAATCACAGCCCTAACTTGGTTGTAGCACCCAACTCTATTGTGATTGACTAGAGGGCTCGGGATCAACATGGGAAGAAAGCTACCACTTACATTGTCATGTTAGGGTAAAATCTGCACCAAAAGTGATGAAGTGGAAGAAAAAAAACTGATCTTGAGTTTGGGCCCCTCATCTGAAGGTCACTTACAAGCTCTGTGTGAGTTCTTTCAGCAAGTTACTCAGCCCTTGCTTAGCTGTGGGCTTTTATTTGTAAAGTGAGGGTGATGGCAGAGATGAGGTCTCTGTCCAACAGCATGACCACACGAGAAGCTGTGACAAGCGTAAAGTCACGGGAACCACCCTGCCCCTGCTGCCTGAGGTTGATCACCTGGAAATGTCATTTGTGATTGTTTTGTTATTAATATGGCTGACCCTTCACATATATTTGACATTGTGTACTTATTCTTCTGTAAATTTGCCAGTTTATTTACTTATTTTCTTATTGCTGCATTTTTACTTTTTAATTAAACAGCAAGAACTCTCTTACAATTACTCACCTTTGGCTAGTAGTTTGTTTTTTAAGTTTATGATATTTTTGACATATGTCTTATACAGTCAGATTTCTCTCCACCTTCAAATATCAGAAGTACAAGAAAAAGTCTGACTTTTAAAAAATAGCTAATGAGAACAATTCAGCACAGTTCTATATTTTCATAATAAATTGTGTCTTCGCTTATTAGAATTATCTTCTAAGCAGATACTCCTAATTATCTTATTAGCACTCTATGCTTTTGGAAAACAGAATGAAATTTTAATTTAAATCATTGAACAGAATCATCTGATGGGAGACCGTGTAGCAAAAACAAAACAATGGTAGATGAGGGTTACATTCAAGATAAGGCAATAGAGATCCCTGATTTGGT